GAGGTGGTGGGGAGGTGCTTTGGCTGGCTTGGTGGGGAGGTGGTGGGGAGCTTCGGCTGCCTCGCTGGGGAGGTGGTGGGGATGTGCTTCCGTAGGCTCGGTGGGGAGGTGGTGGGGATTCGTGGCTCAATGGGGAAGTGGTGGGGATGTGCTTCGGCTGGCTCGGTGGGGAGGTGCTTAGGCCGGCTCGGTGGGGAGGTGCTTCGGTAGGCTCGGTGGGAAGGTGGTGGGGAGGTGCCTCGGCCGGCTCGGTATGGAGGTGGTGGGGAGGTGGTGGGAAGGTGCTTCGGTCGGAAACGGGGGATATTGTCATACCTTTTGACGATAGCCAGGACGCTTAAGGGACTGACTGCATAGACTGCAACCACAAGAGGCTTGCTGCTTTCTGGTCTGGTAACTTCTGCACCTGCCTCCAAAACTTCAAAAGTTTGTCTTCAGTAATCGGGTCTGTAGGGAAGTCTCCCCACCTCTTGATGGCCAGGACTAGGAGGGTTCTGGTCACTTTCTTCAGTTGCAGGGCTCTCCCTGTTTTTGTATTATACTGGGTCATTGGAACAAAATCCCCAAATTTTTTGACATCCGACCAGCCATACGAATATGGTTCTACTGTAAAACAGGAGGCTGGGTATCCTCCAGTACAAGACTCTTTCCCTTTGGGGCCCACTGAGATCCAAACCCTGGCTTCCATGAGATCTTCCTCCAGAGAAACGAACTCCTCCCCTTTCCATTCCAACAGGTCTTCAATCTTGTTGTTGGCCTGTCAGGCCCAGACTTGAACTTTGGTTCCTGCGGAAGTAGGAGGGCCCAGGATCCGCCAAAATACGCTGAGATTAGAAGGCGAAATAAACCAAGAGTCAATGGCTGGATGGCGAACTGGGTGAAGGCAGAGGGTCCATGACGAGGGAATAGCGTTTTTCAATAGATTAAAATTCTGGTCTATGTTGTGTAGCCTAGGCAATATCTTCCGGAGAGAGTCATGCGTAATCCAGTCATGGACAGAATCGTCCCACACATCCTTGAGCTGGATCACTCCCTTAACCGTCCAGGCCTTTCCAAAGTTCCCTCCCAAAGTGGCAGCCGGAAAGACTTCCCCGTCAGACTGCAAAATACGAGGATTATCGAACAGTGGCTGATTCAATACTTCCAGGCGTGTAGTTGGTTCCCTGAAAGTAGTGGGGCGGAGTTTGTTCCAAGCATGAAGAACGTGTCACCATACTACTGATTTCGGCCTATGCTGGGTAAATGAAGGTAGGTACAGGCACGACCAGACATCTGAGTGGTTGCTAAAACCCCAATCCGATCCCAGCAGATATTCTGCCAGTAGAATCCACGCTTTAGGAGACTGCATCATCATAGCTAGGACTGGCCATTTTCCAAGAAGATAAATTCTGTTGTCTTGGGTCAAGTAAGCCAAGCCCCTTTTCTTGGGAGTAGCTACCGTTTCCCAGGCCACTTTGGATATAAAACCCTGGTCCTCTGAGGCTTCCGGTTTCCAGAGTGCATAAGCTGCATCGCCCAGTAAGTGCACAGCTAGGACAAACCACAAGGTAGAGAAGGCGGGCGTAGATAGTACCAGGGCACGGCCAAACAAAGGCAGGAACCTTCCCCTCTCCCACTTTCCTATCTTCTCCACCACTTTCTTTTCCAGTATGTTATCTTGTGCTCCTGAACAGTTAGACATGGAGACTTGAACCCCCAACAATCTTTCAGAGGAATCTGCTGGCACTGACGTCATGCCCCAGTTCCCTACAAAGGAAAATGGCTCTGGGAGCAAAGCTGCTGATTTGTTCCAATTGATAGAGACAGAGTACAATAATCATCTAAAACTGTTCGCAGCTCTGCCACTGAATCAACCGAATTCTCGCATGCTATAGTAAGGTCATCAGCAATAGCCCCTCCTTTACATTGAAAGGAGGGGGATACTCTCAAGCCTTTGATACTCTCATTTTGATGTTATCCAACAAGACCTCAAGTTGCAATACGAACAGCAATGGTGCCAGAGGGCATCCTTGCCTCAAGGAACGGAGAGTTGGATTGCACCAGAGCATTAACACTTACCATTGCAGTAGCACGCGAATACATGGCCTTGACCAATCTACGGAACACGGGCCCGAAACCCATGTGGGCTAATGTAGTAGCTACAAAGGCCCAGCCAACTTTATCATAAGCCTTCTCCATGTCCAGGAGAAGGACTGCTACCTCCCTCTTCTCCATACTAAGGACCTCGAGTGCTTGCATGGTCGCCAATGTATTCTCAAATATCGATCTTCCTCGTACGAAGGCCCCTTGCTCAGGGCCTATCAAGCATGGGAGGTATCGAGCCAATCTTATAGCCAGTGCCTTTGCGAGAATTTTATAGGCTACATTCAACAACGATATCGGGTGACAGTTACAAATTTCCCTTTTGTCCCCTTTCTTATACAACAGCGAGATGATGCCCTTTACCAGACCCTTGGGGAGGATACCTTCTGTGATGAAATAGTTACAAATCTCCGTTATAAATTGTCCTGTGGCTTCCCAAGTTGCAATGTATAGTTTAACCAGAAGACCATCAATACCCGGGCACTTCCCGGATGACATATTTTTCACGGCCTGCTACAGTTCGTCATTAGTAAAAGGCCTATCCAGGTCCAACTTACCTGAGCAGGAGATCTTGACCTGAGTCCGGTCCCAAAATGCCGAAGAGATTGTTAGATCAGAGTCAAAACTATCAGCAGGCCGGACCGGTCAAAATGTCTGAGAAATAATCTGCGGCATAGAAACACATCGCAGACGTTGTGACAGCCAGGGGAGTGTCAGGAGCAAACGGGTGATTGAGCTCTCTAAGAAGTGGCATTGTACCTTGAATCAGGAGGGAGCGGAAGGTCACCTTAGTCATTCTGTCTTGGCCTTTGATGCCACAAATTTTCAGCCAATCCAACCATTGTGTCTGTCGCTATACGCCTCTAGCTGTACCAGCAGGTCCTTTCTGACCCTTGCCCAATACAGATCCCCGTACGGATCATGGCCAATTCTCTCTTCTGCTTCCCTTATTTTCTGTTTAAGCTTTTCCTCTTTATAGTTGCGGTGCCCAACTTTTATTTGAGAAAAGACATCCAACGCAGACTGCAGGATACCAAACCTAGTGTCTACCCAGTCTTCGTATTTAGCAAAGAGGGGCTTAGCCCATCCCATTTCTGAACTTGATTCTTCACCCAATTTACTATGCCTTCGTCCTTCAGGTGTGATACATTTAGTCTGAAAGGAATTCGAAACTTCTCAAGCTGGTCCCCTGAGATCACATCCAACAAAATTGGATAGTGATCTGAAAAATCTGAGATCTGCAAACCTGTCCACATGCAACGGTCCCAGAGAGCGCCTCGCACTAAGGCGAAGTCTAGTCTCCTGCTAGGAGCGGGGGTATGCTCGTCAGGTGATGGGCCATACCAAGTGAAACCAGGAGAATCCGGGTTCAGAACTCGGTATGCATCTACCAAGGACTGGGTCTCCATCAATTCCATCAAAGTCCTGGTGTCATTTCGAACAGGATTTGAATGGGGCAAATCGAGGCCAGGGGTGATAATTGTATTCCAGTCTCCTGCAATCAAAGTGATTTTCCGTATCCGGCAGGTAACCAGGTAAGTCTGCAAAGAAGTTACAGCGTTCCATGTTGTCAACTGGGGCATAAATTGACATTATGCCCCACTCTTCATTACCAATTGCCACTTTGACCCATACGAATCGACCGTGAACATCAGCAAAGTTGTCTAATACTTGTATCTCCAAATCTTTATGAAAGAGCACGGTTGTGCCGCCCTTAGTACCTTCCGCCGGGGCCCAAAAATTTGGGCATGGCCACCAGTTGCCAAATTCTTTGATCCGGGTGGCACTTAGCTTCGTTTCGTGTAAATAGAGGATATGGGCTGATTCCAAATGGGCCCACGAGGAGAGCCTCATCCTTCTGTACGTGTCATTAAGGCCTCTCACATTCCAATTAGCAATCCTCAGGCGGTGGGGGAGGACCATTATTCAGTCCAGCCTCTCTGCCCTTGGCTTGGATGTGGCGACGGGATCCGACAGGTAACTTCCTGCGCTTATCATTCTCATCTTCCCCAGATTCCAGTTGGGTTAGAGCCCAAGGGCTTTGAAGAGCAGCTGAAAACTGGGGAGACAGATATGGTCTTTGAGCGCAGCGTGTTTTAGCCAATCCGCGATGATCTGGGCAGATATGCCCTCCGAAAGATAAATCTTTTTCAGGAATGGGTTCGCTGGCTTGGTAAATTGTTCTCAGGGGATCCAATACGGATTCAATACTTTCAGCTTCTCCCCGACTTCCTCTTTTACATGAATATTCAAGACGGCGAAGTAGAAAAGCTTTGCACGATCGTCTTCCGGACGCCCAGTCGAAGAAGACGTAGCGGCTCACCTTAGGTTCTGGCAGTACCCTTGCATAACAGACCCCTTGCAGGATCTTGCGAGCATGGCCCAGAATATCCAAGTCAGAGGGTTGCCCTTCGATCCTAACTGCAGCCATGTCCAACACGCCGTCAGACGGGGAGAAGGACAGGACCATTGGTCCATTGGCTGAGGTGACACAAATAAGAGGAATTAGATAATCTTCTGTTTTCCCTTTTTCGGCTCTTGAGGTTGTTGTCATAGGTAAAGCTGAAGATAGTGAACGTGCGGACTTGGACTTGGGTTTCACGGCCGTCTTCCGAAGCGCAGCTTCAGATCCACCCTCTGGGATCGCCTCCTGAACAGCCTTAAATTGCCCAGGTGACCTTGGTGATCGGTCAGAGGGATCTGACTCCTTGCGTGACTTCTTGACAGGGGTTCCGCAGGCCTTGCCATTTCCGGTTGGATCCTGCGGACTCCCTTCCTCTGGTTGCTCTGAAGAAGGTCCCACGGGGACTGAGAGCAATGGGTCAATTAACAGGCCAATGGATTGGTTTGCAGTTCATTCGCCAATACCTAGGTCATCCGAGGAACCATCCGTTATCATCAGTGTGTCTGCAGGGGCTGACGTATCCTCTGCACTTTGCTCAACAATGAGCGGGGCAGCAGAGAGTTTTTGTATCCATGATGAGCGCGATTGCTGCCCAGAGGGGCAGACGAGATTAGCTGGATGGATAGCATATGACGGGGGGGGGAGGGCAGAACAACCACCCAACACATTAGTACGGCCCTGGCTAAGAACCAAGGCTCGTTCAGGAGACCCAGAGACCGATGTTGGGGCTGCCCTGTTTCCAGCAGATGGAGAAAAGGCCGCGGGCGACCCCAGGCGAGGGGAAAACACCTGTTGCGAGTGCCCACTTTCTGCCGGGGGGTAACCGCTCGCTGCGGCTGACGGGAGGCATCCTCCCCAGATAAACTACCCACCATGCAAGGTTCTACCAAACCAATTGTTTTGGCAGTTAGACACCCTTAGATGAAAGAGTGGTATTTCAAGCTTGGTAGTCACTGATGACCACCTCCCACCTACCCTACACATTCAATCAAGGTTGTCAATGCAAAGCTATAGTAAAGGTGCACGGGGTCTTACCGTCTAGCCGCTGGTACTCCGCATCTTCACGGAGAATTCAATTTCACTGAGCCCATGTTGGAGACAGCGGGGCAGTCGTTACAACATTCATGCAGGTCGCGACTTATGTGACACAATTGTGTTAATTGAAATAAACTTCGAACATCATTTCAACCGAGGCCTTCCTCCTTCGTGTCGCCAGTTTCCAGGTTAAGCCGATGAGGCCTGCCCTTGATGAGGTGGAGGAGCTGCCGGGGAGGAGGGCTGCATGCTCCCAGATTGACCAATACGGGAGGTACTTTGCAATCCATTCCCTCTTCCCCTTTTCCCCCCAGGTACTCCAGAAGGTCCTGGGGGGTTGTTCCTCCCTCGTGGGGGGGGGTGGAACTGCATGAACTCCATATTCGGATTGGTTCTGATGATTCAGATAATTTCTTCTTTTCTTTGCAGGGCAATCAGGGTCGTCATCTGTGTGATAATACCAACGACAGATGCTGCACCAATTTGTCTCTTGATTAACAACTTCGAGTTCGATGGAACCTGCATCCTCCGAGAGGTCAATAGGCATGTATGGCGTGAACTTTTCCCTTGCAGTGGGTTCCAAGTCAAAACGAATGTTGAGCAGTTCAGGTTCCTCAGCACGAGATGAGGTCGGCCCTGTTCTAAGGATTCGCCCATAAGCCAAACTGACCGCATCATAAACCAATGGCATGGCTCTGATCGGGATCTGTAACACTCGAATCCAATAAAAATTGTATTTCAGAGTTTCTCTCCATTGCTGAAGTTCAGCCTCAGACATCCATGGTCTGAAGTGGAGAGTGTACTCCAGCACGATTTCATCGACTTGTTTTTGATGCATCCATGCGGCCACTGCGTCTGTGCTGGGCACGTATGTAACCAGATTACGACCCGCATTATGGAACAGCCCTCGTTTGGGTTCTGGACCCAACATCGGCAGCCCAATCCATTTATTTTCATATAGACGGACCACTCGTTTTTTTTATTTTGGCCGGTAGGAACTCGCTTTTTTCTCCAAAAAAGATAGTAACAGCATGCTTCGACAGCCAATCCCTTTGTGCCTTAAATACCCCCGGATCAACTTTGATTCGAACACAATCCTCACTTCTCTCAACGCAGGATGGGTCGTCAGGAATGAGACCAATCGGAAGAACTCCAGATCTATAGCACTCCTCAATAACTTTCGAGGTTCTAGTCTTATCAGTGTCCGCCATCACCGCGTCTGGGTTCTTAGTCGCCATTAGACACGGTCAGCGCCTCCCCGAACTGAACGAGGAGGGTACATGGGTGAAGTAGACAAATTAGTCAACCCTAAATTATGTTGACAATCCCTTGTAAATAATGACGGAGACAAGCAATTGCCTGAAATACTGATCCAGAACTAGATTCCACTGGCTATGCTGAAGTCAACCTACATTAGCCCTACGACTCCAGGATTTTCATATGATCAGCCTGGGAGCCCCAAGCGCTCACCGGTCACGCAAAAGGAAGGGGAAAGGGAACGCGTTCTCAGTCGCATGGAACGAACTCAAAAACAATTTATGCCATTCTTTCCATCCGGTTTATCTGTTCATCAAAGCAGCAGTCCAACATCCCTACTTCAAAACGGGGTAAGGTAAGCCAAGCAGAATTCATATACCTCCTGACACCATAGCAAAACAGCCGAAGGAGCAGCTCTTTAGAACCATGACGGCTTGCTCCTCTGTCCTTCGAATGTCACTTCTCTCCCAAATGAATTCTCCGCCCACGGCTTCCACCAATTGGTAAGAAAGGAGCCCACGCCCTGGGCCGATGACTCCCAGAGAAGGGCGGCTCCTCAGATCTTCGGACATGAAGGCCTTCAGTTCTATAGATGGAATAGTCGTTGTAGGAGCTGCTAGCGACGCTTGTCGTCTGAACGCCACGCGTTCCCCAAGCCACTCAAGGCTTGAGTAACGACAAGCTAGGCGAAAGGTTTGCAATTAGTCTCCACCAGCAGGGCGGACGGTAATTGACAATCGAGCTTCGAGCTCCACCGTCAATTCGCACACCTCTCGTCACCATATCCGCTTCCTGTGCTGCCGCCGATTAACAGTGCCACGTTAGGGTTAACCGAGGGTAGGCACCATGGCATAGCAGTGTGACAAGTCGCGCTGCCGGCCGAAGGCCCCACCGACGATTAGCGCACAACGTAGCGCTATTTCGGCAGTCACACCGGTACGCGGGCATCGAGGTCTCCCCCAACACTCCCTATTCTCAATCTATATGAACCATTCTTTATTCTTCATCTATGTACCCTTCGCTCTCTGCTTGTTCTCCTTTCTTTCTCTGTTTCTTTTTCTGTTTCTTTTTCTGTCTCTTTTCCTGTTTCTTTTCCTGTTTCTTTTCCTGTTTCTTTTTCTGTCTCTTTTCCTGTTTCTTTTCCTGTTTCTTTTTCTGTCTCTTTTCCTGTTTCTTTTTGTGTTTCTTTTTCTGTTTCTTTTNTTCCTGTTTCTTTTTGTGTTTCTTTTTCTGTTTCTTTTTCAAGATTTTCTGTTCCTTTTTCTGTTTCTTTTTCTGTCTCTTTTCCTGTTTCTTTTTCTGTTTCTTTTTCTGTTTGAAGTTCGAACTTTTTTCTTTTCTTTTTTTTTTCTTTTCTTTTTCTTTTTCTTCGTCTTTTCTTGTTCTTTTGTTTTTCTTTTCTTGTTCTTTGTCCCTGTGACTGAGGTATAGGAGTTGACAGTGGAGATGGCATCTCACGCAAAGGTGGTCTGCAGTTGTCTTGTTCCGAGAAACTGGTTCAACTCCGTCGTTGGTTACCGGTTTTTAAATTTCTCACATTGACTATGTAGCTTTAAGTGAGAGTTCCTTACGAGTTAGAAGAGGAGTTTTTCAATAAACTGCATTACGATCAGCTTTTAGGACAGGATATAAGTGGGGGAGCATAGTGGTGTAGTAATGGATGGGGTGATGGACAATTGCGATGAGTTCTGACTCGAAATGCCAAAGGGGTTTTTCAGGAATGAATATTATTCGAGCTGCTCTGAAATTTAGTTTGATTCATTATGTGTGCATGTGCATGAAGGTGGAGGAGGCTGTTCGGAAGCTTGAAGAGGAGATTGGGCCACTCAGTGGTCCAGTTGTTGGTGGTCTGCGAGAGCATGTATGGCGCCGTCCTCGGGCAGCAGAGGTGGGTTCTCTTCTGGCTGCTTACGATGCTTTTTTTCTTGAGCTACCGGTAGGGTAAAAGATAACCCCCCATCTAATGAGTCTAATCACACCGTAGCAGATTACCTATTTTTTATTTGTTTCTCTTCAGTTAGTTTTCTCTTTGTTCGTACCGTGGTTCTTATGATGACAGACGCACTGCCTCACAATGTGATGCTGCAATGCTGCAATGTCCCATAACTACTCTGTGGCTAAGCGGTCTCAATTCTTTAGAGAATCCAGCCGGAGATGCTGCAAGTGGCAGTGTGTTAACAGGGTATGGATTCCTGTGGATAATCTGTAATCGCTAGACTTTTTGCATTCACTTATTGTGAAAGGGTGTTGTCTTTGCAGGTCCAAGTCATGATTGGGCATATCCTTGACCAGGCTGAGATTCTCATGGACACGTTTGATGAGCTGCCCGACGGTCTCTGCATTCAGGGTTCTGATGAAGCCAAACTATCAGGAGCAGAATGTTTTGTATGCAGCGAGAAAGGTGCTGTTGTTACTTGCAGTGGAAAGCAGTGTGGGCGAGTTTATCACCTTCAATGTGCTGGTCTGTGGGTCGTGCCTCCCGCTGGGATGTGGCTTTGTCCATCATGCGGTGCAAAGGCGGCGGCACTGTCAACCCCCGGATCCCAGGGTAAGGTGTCATCTTGCCTCTGGCTAACCCTCTGCTTGAACCTTCCCTTCCTTTCCTTCCCTTTTTTTTTAATTTTATATTTAACAAGTGGACACGCCGCAGCGAAGCTGCAGCACAGAAGAGGGGCGCGACGAGAGGCAGGCAAGGAGGGCAGCAAGCAAAGATGCAAATGAAGGCCGCAGAAAAAAAAACAAAAAAAACGGTAGCGAGGCTATTGGGGGGGAATTTCTAAAATCAAAATTGGAGGAAATTTGGAGAGAGGACCAGCAGATCCGGAAAAACAAACATGGTTTCACGGAAGGGGCGAAATTAAAAAAGGCCAGGGTTTCACGGAAGGGGGGAAAAAAAAAAAAGGCCAGGCTAACAGGGTTCATGCCGGGATCCTGCACTGCAACTGAACGTCGACTTTACACTCCTCATCCTCCTCCTCCTCTCCCCCCCCCCTCCTCCTCCACTTTCTCACCTCTACCGTCTCTCCCAAAAGCGAAGTTCAATCAGTCGACAAAACATAAATGGAATTCAATGGATGAGATGTTGTAAAACCACCTGGGCGCCGGGGGGGAGGGGGAGGGGGCAGAGGAGGAGGAGGTTGAAAAGGACAATGAGAGGAGAGGGGGTGGAAATTTACGATCAAGATAACGATGATGATGATCAGGCATAAGAGAGGAGGGGAAAGCGGAGAAGAGGAGGATGGAGGCAGGAATAGGCCGGAGCAAGGAGTGGCGGGAGGAGGAGCAGCGGGAGTGGCCAGGACGGTGAGGAGACAGAGGCGAAGAGAGGAGCGGGAATGGCAAGAGGAGCGGGAGAGGGAGGAAGAGGACGATGAGGAGGACGAGGTGAGGAAACAGATAAAGCGGAGGAAGTGGAGGATGAGGAGGAGTAGGATGGAGGGAAGAGAAGATAGCAGCAAGCAGCAGAGGAGGAGTGGGACGAGGAGGAGAGGGAGTGGTTGTGGCAATGTCGGTCTGCGTGTGTGTGTGTGTATAGAATGAGCAAAATCGGAATGAACGCACGCGCGCGCGCGCGCGCGCGCGAGAGAGAGAGAGAGAGAGAGAGAACAGTCTCCAACCTCGCGTCTGGCCTCATAGTACTACCATCGATAGGATAAGCAAAATCGAATGAATCTACCGCTAGAACATGGAAATATACACTGCCAGAGTCGAACCTCTCACCACGAAACCAAAAAAAAAAAAGACGGTCGCGAACAAAAAACCTCAAAATTGAATGAATCTTCCGCCAGAACATGGGAATGTACACTGCCAGACTCGTTTCTATCGTTGCCTGCCACGAAAAGGCAAAAAAAGAATCCGAAAAACGGCCGGACTCGAACCTCTCAACACAAAACACAAAAAAAAAAGACGGCCGCGAACAAAAAACCGCGCCGGGCCCACGGTGCGCCGGGCCTGCGCGGGAAAAAGGTCTCAGCGGGACGCGTTACGCGAGACCCGCGACTCCCTTTAAGAAGAGTATAGACAAGTGGACCTGCCGCGGCTTCGCTCGCGGCCCGAGGGCGCCAATGTGGAAGCAAAGAGGAAACACAGCACAAAAGCTTCATGCACATGAAGACACATTTTTTGGGGGGAAAATAACAGGTTTTCGTTTTCTAAAAGTCCCAGGAGTAGTCTCTGAGGAGAGGAAGGAGGAGGACGACAAACGGGAAGACGACCCCCGTTTTCGCGCCAGATGCATCTATGCGACATGCCCATCTCGTTTCCCGAGTGTTCCACGGCTTCCGCCAGAGCTTTTTTTTTTTTTTTTTGCCTCTCCATACGGCCCGCATGACCACCGGATTCCCTTCCTTTTTTCCTGCACTCCGCGTTTTTGCGCCGCATGCATCTGTGTGACCGGTCCATCTCGTTTCCCGAATGTTCTACCAAACTTCGCTGCCGCCTGCGGCCTGTCACGCCCACCAGGGCCACTTCGCTGAGCACAAAAAAAAACGGGCACTTGCCGCAGTCCCTCATGCCCCTTCGGTACCGCCTTCTCCCCCTGACTTTTTCTGGGCCCGCAGGGAGCGTGACGCGAGGCCCACTTTTACTTTTAGGAGGATTAGGGAAAAGGGCGACGGCCTTGAGATATCATCATCAAACTGGCTGGCCCTAGGTAATTCAGAATTGTAGTATTGCACTCATCTGCTTCCATTGGAGTTCGAACTCGGGTCTATATTTCGACAGTTCAGGGGTGTACCAACTGGGCTAGTCCAGTTGGTCTTCCTTTCCTTCCTTTCCCTTCGATATCCTTCCCTTTCATACCCTCACCTTCTTTGTCCTTGCCTTCCGTCTTCGTTCAAGTCTAGCTTATCACCTACAGTGTGCTGGCCCGTTGGTCGTGCCTCCGACTGGAATGTGGGTTTGTCCATCATGCGATGCAACGCCAGCAGCAACATCAACCCCGGGACCCCAGGGTAAGGTGTCGTCTTGGCTCTGCTAGCCCTTGTCCATCGTGCGGTGCAAGGGCAGCAGCAATGTCAAACCCCACACCCCAGGGTAAGGTGTCATCTTGGCTCTGGTAGCCCTGCTTCATGCCCTGCCATCCCTTTCCTTTCCCTTTTATGTCCGTCCCTTTCATACCCTCACCTTCTTTGTCCTTGCCTTCCGTCTCCGTTCAAGGCGAGCTTATCACCTACACTGTTCTGGTCTGTGGGTCGTGCCTCGGGGTGAAATGTGGCTTTGTCCATCATGCGGTACAAAGACAGCAGCAATGTGTTACATGCTGAGCCTGCACACGGGCCCCATTTTCGGGGCCCGACAGTTGCTGGGGGCCCCCAGGCAGCACGCAGCACGCCCCTCAGACGCGCGCCCTGGAGGCCCACGCCCGGCCTTAGGGCCGCAGGTTTCGGCTTGAGGCAGCATTCATTTCATTCATTCATTTATTTAGTTAGTTAGTTAGTTAGTTAGTTAGTTAGTTAGTTAGTTAGTTAGTTAGTTGCTGTCCTATTTTTGTCTGTTCAGGCGTCGTTTCGGACTTGCAGTTTGTCGGAACAGACCTTCGGTCTGTTCGGACAAAGGCCACGTTTTTGGCCTGGTACGGACATAGAAAGGCCCTGTTGGGCCAGGTGCGATTTCGTCCAGTAGCGGACGTCCCTGCTGCATCAGCAGGGAGGGTCTGGACGTCCGGTTGGGACCCAGACCCAGTAGGCCACGTTTTGGCCAAAGTCCAGAGGCACACAGAGGCACACCCGCGAGGCCCAGCGCTACTTATAGCTGGGCCACGCCTGGGCAGACACACAGTTCGAGTAGCTCAGTTCTTGGGCGACATGCTGCTGGAGCAGCGCTACAGCGCTACACTGGAGGTAGAGGTAGAGGTGTAGGTAGGGAGTGAGGCAGAGGCCATACCTGCGTCAGCGGAGATCCTACCTGGGCGCCATAGCTGGTCTTCGCACCAGCGCACCTGCAGCACAGAGGAAACAAGCGGCAACAGTTAGTACATGGTGGCAGTTACCTGCAGGTGAGATAGCGAGGAGGATGACATCTTCTTCTTCTGCTTCTCTCGCCCTCCATCTCTCCTCCTTCCTCCTCCTCCTCCTCCTCCTCCTCCTCCTCCTCCTTCTTCTTCTTCTTCTTCTTCTTCGTCTTCTTCTTCTTCTTCTTCTTCTTCTTCTTCAGAGAGAGAGAGAGAGAAAGAGAAAGAGAGAGAGAGGTTACAGGCAGAGGTTACATCGGGCATAAGGCCCAGGATCTGATTCGACATTTTTACGGCAGACATTGATTGGACATTCGGCAGGGAGACTATTTTTGGACTTCGCTATCGTGATCTTGGTCTTCTCCCTCACCTCCATCTTTGTCTCGCCTCTCCCCCATCTCTTCATCCGTGGTATCTCCCCCATGTCCGTGTCGAAGGAGGGACCTTTCTTCCATGTGTGCGGTCCCTCCTCCCTCTCTCACATGTGTGCTGTATGATGGGATGTCGCATCAGTCTCTGATAGGTCAGGTCATATCTTGGAGTCTTCCGCTGCGCTACATTGTGCTATTTTCATATGTATCTGGATGTAGATTGCTTGTCGATGCTTTGCTGATGCTGCATTGTCCGTTCAAGTCCTTTTCATCACTTTGCAGATCCTTGGCTCCATATACATCGCTCAACTGAGCATGTATCACATGTCAACCCCCGTACCCCAGGGTAAGGTGTCATCTTGGCTCTGCTACCTTCTTCCCCTGAATACAACGTACGGTAGCTATAGCTGTATTTGGGGTATCTTTCAGTCTAAATATAGCCGTAATGACCGTACGACGTACGTTGTATTCGGGGGAAGAAGCTAGCCCTTGTCCATCGTGCAGTGCAAAGGCAGCAGCTACGTGAACCCCAACACCCCTGGGTACGGTGTCATCTTGCCTCTGCTAGCCCTGCTTTGTGTCCTTAACTCCCTTTCCTTTCCCTTTTATATCCGTCCCTTCCCTGCCCTCCTCCACGATGTAATTCTCCCCATCACAGCATATGGCTGAAGTTGAGAAAACTCAGGCTGTTTTGTGACATTGTAAGTCCCCTAGCTGAAATCGACAGAACCAAAGCACCGCTCAGTCAGTTTACAGAGGAATCTTTGTGAGACTATATTGCAAAACTTGTTTGGAACAGAACTGTTTCCTATGAATTCTTCGACGGAGCAACTCTGCCGATGAGCCCCAGGCCATATGTGAGCGGATGTCCAGCATGGCACAAGATAGCTCGGCTTGGTCAGGGTGTTATAAGGCCTTCTCTTGGCTCTTAGCCATCACAGCTGGAGCTTGTTTATATTTATAACTTTATACTCAGAAGATTTGCTCTACTTTGGCCTTCAACAATCTTTCTGCCTAAGCCCTTTCTGGCATGTTCCTTGATGGTATCGGCTCGGGATCCTCCTGGCATTCGGTCTCTTGGCACAACCGTCTTTCCCCCAGCAGAAGTAATGATCGTTATAGCTTTCGCTGACCCCTGAAGTTTCCCGGAATACAGTGATAATGTTTGTACCTTCTATTCAGGAGAAGGTGGAAGTACATTGCCTCATCATGTGTCGTGGGCTATGGTGGCCTCTCTTATCCCCTCTCCCTCTGTGTAGTGTCATGCAGCAGCAGCAAGCAGTAGCATTGACTTATGGACACTCAAAATGATGAATGAGGGATTGAAATGCTTTTCTCCCCTTCCGCTTTCCTTTCCCCCAAAAAAGAAGAGAGGTGCACTCCTTCGTGCTGTCTTACCATCAAATGTGTCATACAGGCCACGGCTGGTTCAGGACTCGCCCAGACTGTCCAGACGGGCCTCCCGGCAGATCTGCGCCAAATCAATGTCGCCCCTGGCCCGGACCTGGACCTGGCAGCCCCCCAGGCAACCTTGGGAGGGTTCCCCACACCGCCCAGCACGGGAATTGTTTTTCAAATCCGGGAAGTAGATCAGCACTGATCCATGTTAGCATGCAAATAGATCATGGGATTCATGGGAAAAGACTAGCAGCTAGCTTGGTGTGGGAAGACCTATATCTGGGATGCCATTTCCACAAGATTCTTTCTGTGATTCCGACTGCCAAAGACAGGACAGAGCAGATTTCTTCTGAGCTCCGGGACACTGTGGATTTGTTTAGGAAGACAGGGCTGTGGGTTAAATGGAAAGCCCATAACCCTTAGTGTCCCACCATAGGGATCTGTTCCACCATATTCTTCAATTCTGTACATGTTTCCCTAGCTTTGTAGGCTGACGTTAGAGAAACATTTACAGAATTGAAGAATATGGTGGAACGGAAATTCGGGCAACCCATAACCCTTAGTGTAGCTTGCCGCTGGAGGGTAGATCAAGGTGGGTATCATTCGTAGTTAGTTAGGTAATGTGAGGTATAAAGTTACTATAAACCCTTAGTGTAGATTGCCACTGGAGGGTAGATCAAGATGTGTATCATCCCTAGTTGGGAAGGTGGTGGGAGTTATAATATTATATTGAGAGAAGAATATAGCTCAGTTTTCAACAAAAAAAAGGGCACAAATTAATTAATGTAATAACTTGGCCTAGCTCAGTTGGTACACCCCCTGAACTGTTGAAATACGGACCTGAGTTTGGACGAGTAGAATACTGCAAATCTGAATTACCTAAGGCCGGTCAGTTCGGTGATGATATCTCAAGGCCGTCACCGTTTGAAGAGGGGAAAAAAAATCTGGCCACAATCGGAGGTGGTGCTCCAAAAGATGGACACAGAGGTGGATGATGAGCATAAGACAGACACTCTGGCGAAAGCAATTCGAACTTCGAAGACATGGCTGTGTGAGCCTGTGAGGGCAAAATAGTGGAAGTATTAAGTAGTGGAGGTAGTGGAAATAAAAGAAAAATTAGAAAATAGTTCCAAAATAAATACCCCTCTTTTTTTTTGTCAACTGGGGTGTGAAGAGATCGCAGGATCAACTTCCGAGGGTCAGGAAGAAGAGCAGGGATTCCTAAATGGGAATATGCTAATCGAGAAATCCAAGCCGACCGCCTAATACAAAAATGCCTGACTGACATTTCTTTTTCCTTTTTTTTTTAAGAGGGAAACGGCCTCGAGATGTCATGATTGAACTGACCAGCGCAAGGTAATTCAGAATGATGACTTTATTCTGGTCCTCTTGTTGCATCGGGATTTGAACTTGGGTCTGTATTTCAACAGTTCACAGGTGACCGGCCCATGGCGTTCTTTTTCTTTGTTTTTGAAATTTTGTCTGACTTTCTCAGTCGCCCACGTAACTCAGGCAAGTGACCCTGCTCACCTGGCTGGACAACTCTGGAAACCTTTTTTTTTTTTTTGTGGGGGGGGGGGGGGGGGGGGGTGCAATTGCTCCGATCTGGTCTGGAACCTAGGGGTCCTATCTTTTCCTTTTTTTTTTCTTTTTAAATCACCAACCTATATTCTTCTCTCAATATGCCTCCCACTGCCTTTTTTTTTGTTTAATAAAATAAAAGACTAATTCCTTAAGCCCAGCCAATTCAATTACCTATCGAATCTGGACAGGAGGCCTTTCAGGCCTATTTTATTGCCATTGTAGTATTATGGGGAATACAGTAGCAGCCACATCCGTGCTCAAGCCTCCAACGAGGGAACATGCAGGAGCTGCACCCACCAGCCGGTGCGATACCTGCTACAGCAGCTGGGCTATACCGGCCAGGGGTCAGCCGGTAGCATCAGGAGTCAGGACCGAGCTTCTTCGATGGGCCAGTCACTGTGCCTCCCCTCCGGTCCCCTCCCCCTATGAGCATCAGCAGTCTCTGCTCAATTCCACTCAGGGAGGCCAGCGACATATCTCTAGGTGGCGGGCTCCAAGCTTGCCCAGGAAGGTACATGAGGCCAATGGGGATTGAACCCAAGACCTCCTGAATGCCACTTGACAATGTGTGCCTTACCAACTGAGCTAGGCCACTGGATTTCACTGCCTTGAAGTGCCCTGCGGGATTCAAGAACAAGATTTTAAAAAAAGAGAAAAAAAAACGTCCTGGCGTCCCCGAGCCATACCCCAGGGGCTGATAATGCAGTCCCCTGTGGTAGGCCGTGGGCCCTTGGTCCCATGGGTGGCTCTAATCTATTGGTGCCTTGTGGGATATTGTTGTAACTTCTTCCTGTGATGTGCTCTGAGGGGTTATGTGCAGACGACTGGTTTTCTCTGCTGGATTCGAGCAACTTCACAGCTGGAGGACTGAAGTACAACAACAATTTCGCCGCAGGTATTCACGTATTCTTCTCACCTGCAGTATGATGCAGATCCCTTCCTGAGCCCGTTTGGCTGCTGCAAAATTTTTACCTTCTCTGTCTCTCCTTTTTTTTTTACCTCTTTTTTGTAATTCAGACTAATTCTCAATTTATGAATTTAAACCATTTCTCAGTTTATGTGTGTCATCTTCTCTGTATCATTCCAATTTTAACAGATGTCCCGAAGGACAGCCTTCAATGTCTCTCATTCGGTCACTCTCTCCTGCTCTCAAACCTCCTTGTGCAAAGTGAGTTGCGAATTCTCCTTGCTCTTGTCAAATTGAAAGCTTTTTTTTTTTTTTGGGGGGGGGGGGGGGGGGGAGAGGAGAGGAAGGGGAAGTGGAAGGGGAAGCGGAGGAAGAAGGGAGAAATGAAAAGTGTGGGAGGCATTTTTCTTGGATCATCAGCCGGGTCCCTCCAAAGTATTGTCCCACTGTGTGTGCAGTCCGGAACCCCACTCGTGCCTGGAATTCCTTTTTTTTTTTTTTTTCTTTCTTTCTTTTTTGAACCCACTTGTGCCTGGATTCTATTGCCTCCAGAATGCGCTGCTGACGGTGCGGCCCAAGCAGCACGAGGTAGTAGGTGCCAAAACATGTTTCTCGTTGCTTGATGAGCTCTTAGGCGTCCCCTGATTACTGCTCAATGAGCTTTTTGCATCCTCATTGTAGCGAGGGGTGTCTGATGTCTGTTGGTGAAGATTATGTCTTCCCTCGCAACTCCTTTGTTGGCTTGTGTGGCAGAAGACTGAGCGGCATCGTGGGTAAGCAGGTCCCTGGTTGCAGAAGTGGTCATGTTGACTTGTGCGGTTGTATTGCAGTGACCGTGTACGTCTCTATCTTCTTTTTTACAGGGGTTAACCCGTAATATTATTGTATCGGTCTGATGAAGCCGTCAGGATTCTCTTTTCTTTTTCCTGAGACCGTTTCTCGATTTATACGTGTCACCATGGTTGCATACCTGCCGACCACCAACCCCGACCGCCGACCGTATTGCAGCCGACCAGTAGGTCCAACCGGTCGGTGGTCTGCGGACCAGTCAGAAAACAACCATCCACTGATTCTTTTTCAAATCTGAGTTGGGGGCTGTACTGCGCTTGCTGAGTACAGCCCCAATCCGCTGAGGGATGGGGGGGTTCGGGGGGTGGGTGGGTATGAGGGTGTTGGGGGGCGGTTTGGGGGGGGGGGGGGGGGGGGGGGGGGTATGTGGGGTGGGTATGGGGTGTTGGTGGGGTGATTAGGTTTTTTTTTTTTTTTTTTTTTTGCGGGGTGTCGACTACCCCCGACCGGTGGGTGCTGACCAGCCGACCGGTCGGCAGGTTGGCAGCCGACCAGTCAAGGGTCGCCGACGGTTGGGGTGTGCAACATGCGTGTCATCCTTGTGCAGGGTCCATGCTAATCTTCTCTTTGTACCGCTCCAGTGTTAACTGATGTCCCGCACGACGGTTTTGTCAGGATTTGAAGTTTTGAACTCGTGTCCTTTTGTTCATTAAAAGTTGTGCTGCAGTTGTGTCCATTGTCCACATCTCACAAGTTGCATTTCTGCACATCTGCAAGCATTGTTTTTTGTAATGATGTCCATCCATCCCCTGAAACAAGCTGAATGTCAAATTCTCAATGATGACTACACTAGGGCCAGGAAAAGGCCATGATGGAGCTGCGCCTTGTGGCTGGTGTACTGTTTGTCAGCATGATGGCGCCGTGTGCATCTGGAGGTCGCATTGTCATTTCGATCATGATGCTTTCCTTCTCTTGTCATCTGTCACCTGACATCATAGGTCACAGGTAATCACAGGTAGGTTGTGCCAGCAACAGCTGTCGAACTTGGTGCCTAAGTGAAGCACACAGGATATGCTGGTGTCTTTCCCAAGGTATTGATTGGCCAATGAACTAGTAATGGTTGGCATGTCGATCAGGCTAGTGACACGTAAGGTTGTTTAATCGGTCTTCCGGTGGAAAATCTTACGTGTGTCAGGGAAGCTTACTGTCACCTGCTGGTTGCTTGATCGTACCGTGGTCGGATGGCAGGGGATAGAGAGAAGATTCAGACAACAAGCTCATCGTCAGTGCGTACTCTTGCTGCCCCCATTGTGGTCTACTTCTCTGAGATAAGGTCAACGTCTGTGCGTGTTCACTGGAAGATGCCGGAGGGTGAAGGAGCTGGGTTCTGCGATCAAGGCATCATCAAGGGGTTTAAGGTGTGGCACAAGAAAGTGGCAAACAATGCTCATGATGACAAGTTCGGTGCACCTCCATGCGTCCCAGCATCTTTCAGCTCGTTGTCGGTCCTAGGACTTGACTCTGACACCCAGTACGCATTTAAAGTGGCAGGAGTAACTGCAGACGGAGATGGACAAGCCAGTGCGATAGCAATCTGTCAAACTCTACCCACTGGTGAGTCTCTCTCTCTCTCTCTCTCTCTCTCTCTCTCTCTCTCTCTCTCTCTCTCTCTCTCTCTCTGAGATACGTGCTCTGTTGAGCGATGTATATGGAGCCAAGGATCCGCAAAGTGATGAAAATGACTCGAATGGACAATGCAGTGTCAGCAAAGCATCAACAAGCAATGTATATCCAGATACGTATAGAAATAGCACAATGGAGCACAACGGAAGACTCAAAGATATGACCTGACCTGTCCGATACTTACGCGACACTCCAATCATGCATCACACGTGAGAGAGAGAGGAGGGACCGCATACATAGAAGAAAGGTCCCTCCTTGATCACGGACAGGGGGAGATACCACGGATGAGGAGATGGGGGGGAGAGGCGAAGGTGGAGATGAGGGAGAAGACCAAGATCACGATAGCGAAGTCCAGAAATAGTCTCACTGCCGAATGTCCAATCAATGTCTGCCACAGAAATGTTGAATCAGATCCTGGGCCTCCTGGCCCGATGTAAACTCTGCCTGTAGCCTCTCCCTCTCTCTCTCTCTCTCTCTCTCTCTCTCTCTCTCTCTGAAAGAAGAAGAAGAAGAAGAAGAAGAAGAAGAAGAAGAAAGGAGGAGGGAGGAGAAGAGATGGAGGGCGAGAGGAAGAAGAAGAAGATGCCGTCCTCATCGCTATCTCATCTGGAGGTAACTGCCGCCATGTACTAACTGTGCCGCATGTCTCTCTGTACTGCAGGACGCTGGCGCGAAGTCCAGCTATGGCGCCCAGGTGAGTCTCCACCGATGCAGGTATGGCCTCCGCCTCACTTCCTACCTACACCTCTACCTCTAGCGTAACGCTGTCGCGCTCTACTCCAGCAGTGTGTCGCCCAAGAAGTGAGCTACTCGAACTGTGTCTGCCCTGGCCTGGCCCAGCTATATCTAGCGTTGGGCCTTGCTGGTGTGGCCCTGGTCCTGGCTTGAAACGGCCTACTTGGTCTGGGTCCCGACCGGACGTCCAGACCCTCCCTGCTGATGCAGCAGGGACGTCCGCTACTGGACAAACACGAACCCTGGCCCACAAGGGCCTGCCTCCAAACGTAGAAGGCCAAAAACGTGGCCCTTGTCCGAACAGACCAGTCTGTTCGGACGAACTGCAAGTCCAAAACGACGCCAGAGCAGACAAAAATAGGACAGCAAATAAATAAATAAAAATGCTGCCTCGAATTGAATCCTGCAGCCCTAAGGCCGGCCATGGGCCTCTAGGGCGCATGTCCGAAGGGCGTGTAACCTGGGGGCCCCCAGCAACCGTCGGGCCCCCGAAACGGGGCCCGTGTGCATGCTCAGCATCTCTCTCTCTCTCTCTCTCTCGCGCGCGCGCGCGCGCGCGCGCGCGCGCACGCGCTCACTGTGTGTGTGTGTGTGTGTGTGTGTGTGTGTGTGTGTGTGTGTGTGATGACGACTGAAAGGCTACCGCAACGCTAATTGCGGCGAGTTGCTTATTATGAGTGCTATTAATAATTCATACCAGGATATCACAGATCTATGTCATATGGCAGTTTCAGATGGCAATAATGTCACAAGCTTTGCAACTAACCACCTCCATCATTCACCAGTCCTACAGAAGTATTTTGCGTACTTGCAGCGCACCGGCCCTGTGCACTGCCCGGTGTGGTGCGCAGCGTGCTGTGCGCGGAGCCGAGGTGCGCGCTCACTGGCGCGTGCCGCGCATCTTTGTGCGCGGTGCGCTGTGCACATGTCTGATGCGCTGCGCGCGGGTGCGCTGGGGGTTGCGCACTGGCAGGCCACATATGCGCCAGGTGCGCACATCCTTTTTTTTTATGTTTCATTGGAGAACACACACACACACACACACACACACACTGTTACACACTTCAATGAGTATGGGCAGAACCAAAGATCAACCAATATAGGATGAGCATTTATGCAGCGGAAGTCTGATAACGAACTGACTCACATAGACTGACCTACATGGCATCACTTCACACACATACAATCATGAGATGGTGGGGTCTGGGTTATGCATAGACGATACCCAGATCCCGTACACACATACACAGATGAAAGGTGGGAGGAGAGACGAAGGAGGTAGGAGGTAGATCAYACCGATAGGTCACGAGATAGAGTCCKGTAGGTCTCCAAAATGGTAGTCCAGAATGTCATATAACAAGATCAAAATGTCGAGGACCAAAGGTCACCAATGTCGGAGATAACCGAGTCCAGATGTAACCGGTGTCCAACTGTGATGCAGCCGAGTATCAACCTCAACAATCTCCAAGTCTCCAATCAGGTAAGTACCACAGTCTTGTATCACCGAAATCCAACCCTGATCTCTGTCCAACTGGATAGTCTCCAATCTGAAGAAGAAGAAGAAGAAGGAGAAGAAGAGGAGAGAGAGAGAGAGAGAGAGAGAGAGAGAGGGGACTGGCGAGGGAGAGGAGGAGAGATCCTCCAAGCTCCCRGTACCTCAGGCGGCAATGGCCGCCGTGCTGGCTCAGTCGCCCTGCCGCTGCTCCGCTCGCTGCTGCGCTAAGCTGCGCTATGCTGCGCTCTTGCTTCAGCCCCTGCGCTAAGTTTAGCGCATCAAAACAGTACGCTAGTACTGACCATGCCGTGCCGGTAGAGTTCCGGTAGGCCGATGCCTCAACTGAGGCAGGTACCGGTACTTATACCGGTAGGCAATGGTCTGGCCTCAATGCTGCGAGGCCAGGCCAGACCCTGGACCGTCCAGATGGATGGTTCAGCCTCAATCGGCGGTCGGCAGCTTCAAGAGCGCCGCCAGGCCCAAACGAAGTGTCGTTTGGGCCTACCGGATGGGTGCTGGTCCACAATCAGGCCTTTAGGGCCTGTAACCCCAAAGGTCGGGCCTTTAGGCCCTGGTGTGTCCCTCCGGCCCTAAGTCGGGTCCGGTAGGACCCGTGTGAGTCGAAGATGTAACACAC